ACCTGGTGAATCTCACTTTACCATCGATGGTAAACGACATACATAACTGCGTTGCGTTTGTATGTCAGAGCGTTAGTTCTAAGGTAAGACTATTCACGTTATATACACTACCACTACGAAGACAGCATAATCCTACATGGGGTGGTTGTAACCGAATTAAACAGAGAGGGATATCCCTTGACGTCATCACTTGGTTCATAGTAGGAGCTATGGTTCTGGTTTTAGCCACATGGATGCTTAAAGGGGTGGTGGTTGAGGGGGCATGAACATCTGGAAATACTGGCATCAACATATTTTACTCTGATAGTTTCCAGATGCTTGGTTATATTCAAAAGATTACTATCATGCTGCATTCAAAAGAATATGAAGCTTCTATGGCAACGTGAGAATCAATTAAAAAGTTAAGGCGTATGCCAAAAATATCAATTTGTTGGCTTCACGGATTTTTGTTTAGATTTTTATTTTATTTTTAGAAAAAAACAAAAAACAAATAAAAATGGAGCAACAGGACGGAAATAAATAAACAAAAACAAAGTGAAAGTATTGAGCTTACAGAACACAAAAAACAGGATTATTCAAGTTTTCAGCTTCTTATGACACGTTTTATGTAATGAATTCCATTTGATTTACTATTGCAATTCCGGATAAAGATTTTTATTTATTTATTTATTTATTTATTTTTACTGAATTTACGTGTGTTGCATTTACTACTCCCATTGAAATTTTCAAGTTCAATAAGCCAGTAACATAAAAAAAAACAAATAACCCAGACCCAAAAGCCAAAAATCCGTACAACAAAAGTTTGTTGAGTCGGGTCCCTTTCCACTGGCATTTTTCTGTCTTCTTTGGCATGCAAACTTTCAGCTTTACAAAGAAAAAACATCGATCTGTTCTACTGTCTTACATGCTCTACTACTCTATAAGTAAATTCTAAACTGAACTAAACTTATAGTTAAAAACAGTAGGGTTTGGTTAGTTCTAGAGTTTAGAGTGGCGCACACCAGCACACAGCAAAACAATTCTAAGGCGCCATATTGTTTTGGAAGATAATGCACTTCCTTATTGCCCTCTAGCATGTGACTACAAAGAAGCACTCTGAACCTGCAGTAGTTTCTTGTCGGCTTTATTATTATCATTATTTCTCAAAAAAAAAAAAAAAAAAAAAAATGAAGCGTCGATTCCGAGAAGCAACAAATAAAATTGGTGTCACCTAATCAAATGTGTTAAAAAGGTATTACCAACAAGATGTTAGCAACTTCCAATTGCTCCTTAGGAAACGATTAGACAAAGGTTGAGGCCTTCATATTATAATCCATATAATTATTCACTGGTGATATAAATTGCAACTGTAATACTGGAGAAATCACGTGCGTTAGCGGCTGATAAAAAAAAAAAAACTCGTATTGAGGTATTGTCACAGGTAAAGTTCTAATAAGGCTAACATGCCTGAGGAAATGGAACTGCTAAAGAAGCCTTGGTTTGTAGAGAATTTTGGAGGTATTCTGACGATCAAAACTCACTAAGACAAGTGAAGAATAATTATGCATGAGAACCAAATAACACAGGAGTACAAGATACGTCATATGATATCATTATCAGAAGAATGAAAATGATAATTGCCGTAATGAAAGAAGGGATAAAGATCATCAAATTGTTGAAAATATTAATATAAACCTTCAAATATTTGCAGAAGACAAACCTGTACTGGGGGTGGTAGCTGTGGTTGTAGTGAATATTGGCACTACAGTCGTACTTGTAACTGAAGCATTTCCTGTTGGTTCGGCCGAAGTGGTCAGGCGAGCTGAAGTAGTACTTGTGTCAGGTACTGAAGTCGTAAAATCTAAAGAAATACTTGTTTCGGGAACTGAAGTCGTTCTGGTCGTCAAGGTCAAAATTACTTATTTCAGGAACTAAAGTCGTTGTAGGAGCTGAAGTACTTATCTCAGTAACTGAAGTCATGGGAACCGAAGGAGTACTTGTTTCACGAACTGAAGTCGTGGGAACAAAAGTAGTACTTGTTTCAGCAACTGAAGTTGTGGGAACCGAAGCAGTACTTGTTTCAGGAACTGAAGTTGTGGGTGCCGAAGTTGTACTTGTTTCAGGAACTGAAGACGTTGTGGGAACCGAAGTAGTACTTGTTTCAGGAATAGAAGTTGTGGTAACCAAAGTAGTACTTGTTTCAGGGACTGAAGTTGTGGCATCCAAAGTAGTACTTTGTGGGAGACAAGTAGTACTTGTTTCAGGGACTGAAGTCGTGGGAACCGAAGTTGTACTTGTTTCAGGAATAGAAGTGGGAACCAAAGTAGTACTTGTTTCAACAACTGAAGTCGTTGTGGGAACCGAAGTAGTACTTGTTTCGGGAACTGAAGTCGTTGTGATATCTGAAATAGTGGTACTTATAAGCAGTGGAGTCGTAGTAGCAACAAAAGTAGTACTTGTCTGTGGTACTGATGTGGTTGAAATAGCTGGAATCGAACGTGTTTCAGGAATTAAAGTTATGGTAGCCGAAGTAGTACTAATTTCAGGAAATGAAGTTGTGGTAATTGAAGTATCACTTGTTTCAGCAGTTAAAGATGTGGAAACTGAAGTAGTGTTTATGTCATGAACCGGAGTTGTATTTACTGAAATGGTGCTTGTTTCAGTAACTATAGTCCTAGAGGTTGAAATTGTGCTATCTGAATTAGTACTAGTTTTAGGAACTGATGCTAAGGTAAATGGAGTAGTCCTTGTCTGTGTTGTGGTTGTAGTAGTAGAATAAGTACTTGTTTCAGGAACTAAGGTGGTTTTAGTAAAGAAAATGGTACCTGTAATTTGAGCTGAAGTTGTTTCAGCAAGTGTAGTTGTAGTAACTACAGCAGGAACTGAAGTTGTGGTAAATGAATCAGTACTTGTATCATGGGGAGTTGTAGTTTCTAAAGCAGTAGTTGTTTCAGGAACTGAAGTAGTTGTTTCAGGAACTGAAGTTGTGGTAACTGAAGTAGTTGTTTCAGGAACTAAAGTTGTGGTAACTGAGGTAGTTGTTTCAGGAACTGAAGTTGTAACTAAAGTAGATGATTCAGGAACTGAAGTTGTGGTAATTGAAGTAGTATTTTCAGGAACTAATGTAGTTGTTTCATGAAGTGAAGTTGTGGTAACGGAACTAGTTTTTTCAGGAAATGAAGTTGTAACTGCAGTACTTGTTTCAAGAATTATAGTTGTGGTTTCTAAAGTTATACTTGTTTCAGGAACTGAAGCTGTGGTAACTGAAGTAGTCGTGTTAGGAACTGAAGTTATAGTAACCGAAGTAGTTGCTTCAGGAACGGAAGTTTTTGTAATTGAAGTTGTAACTGAAGTTGTTTCAGGAACTGAAGTTGTGGTAACTGAAGTAGTTGTTGCAGGAACTGCAGTTGTGGAAACTGAAGTAGTAATTTCAGGAACGGAAGTTTTTGTAACTGAAGTTGTTTCAGGAACTGAAGTTGTGTTAAGTGAAGTAGTTGTTGCAGGAACTGCAGTTGTGGAAACTGAAGTAGTTGTTTCAGGTACTGCAGTTGTGGAAACTGAAGTAGTTGTTTCAGGAACTGCAGTTGTGGAAACTGAAGTAGTTGTTTCAGGAACTGCAGTTGCGGAAGCTGTAGTTGTTGTTTCAGGAACTGCAGTTGTTGTAACTGAAGCTTTAGTTGTTTCAGGAAGTGGGGTTGTAGTTCCTGAAGCAGTAGTTGTTTCAGGAAGTGGAGTGTGTAGTTCCTTCAAGCATGAAAACAGAGTTAGTTTTCAGGAACTGTATAGTGATACGTAACCGAAGTAGTTGCTCAACTGAAGTGGTAGCTGAAAGTAAGTATGTTTCTTCAGAACTAGCAGTGTGGAAACTGAAGTAGTTGTTCAGGAGTAAAGGTTGTTTTAACTGAAGTAGTTGTTAGTGAGAACTGGCAGTTGTGGGAAACTGAAGTAGTAGTTTTCAGGAACGGAAGTTTTTTGTAACTGAAGTTGTTTCAGGAACTGAAGTTGTGGTAAGTGAGAAAGATAAGTATTGTTTCAGGAACTTGCAGTTTTTGGAAAAACTGAAGTATAGTTAGGGATGGTTTACAGGGAACTGCAGTTGTGAGGGAAACTGGATAGTATTGTATGTTTCAGGCTGCAGTGCGGAAACTGATAGTGTGTATATTCAGGAATTATCTGCAAGTGTAACTGAAGTAGCGAGGACATACAGTATGATTATAATTCAGGATTGGAAGAGTGTGAGTAAGTTCCCTGAGCAGGTAGTTTATGTTTTTAGGATGTAAGTGAGTTGAAAGATATCCTAGACAGTGGAAACATAAATGGTTGTTAAATATTTCAGGAACTGAAAAAAAAAAGTAGTAATACGAGTAAGTAGTATATGCTATTCAGGTAACTGAAGTGGTTAAGCTGAGGTGAGTAGTTGTTTCAGGAACCGAAATGTGTATAACGGATAGGGTAGTTGCTTCGAACTGAAGTGGTAGCTGAGTTAGTTGTGATTCAGGAA